TTTTTGTCAAAGCACTTCAGATATTCATTGCTATCGGGATGTTAAGAGCATTCCATGGAATATAACAACAAGTGTATCTCGAGCCGGTTTCTCAAACTTACCTACCCCACCTTTAAATAATGTTTTGGACGATATCATTCTTTTTTTAAATCAGAATTTATCAACATTCTTGCTCTTTAAAACCATTTTATACACAGATACAATGATAACATAATTGCATATTGAAATATCCTCAAATAATGTTAGCTTGCTGTACTCTGCTGTGTGTTCCCTTTACAAACTGCTCACATGATTTCATTAAAGAACAGTTTCATATATTAGATTATAAAAACTGAATCCTCTTCAGGTCAGGGTACAGGAGAGACTCTTACTTTGTGTCTGAGGGTCCAGGTTCATTACTGAAGAGTGGAGGTGTTCCCATAGACCGGTCACTCTTCAGAGACAGACAGCTGGGGACTGGAGTACTGTCCCCTTCCTCATCTTTTAAATCACTCATCTTCTCCAGTCTGATACACACACACACACACACACACACACACACACACACACACACACACACACACACACACACACACACACACACACACACACACACACACACACACACACACACACACACACACACACACACACACACACACACACACACACACACACACACACACAATACATGAAATCAGTCAGACTTCAGGCCGCTCTCCATTTTGTCTGCGCTGGGCTGTCACATGTTATGTAACTCTGATGACTCAGGAAACAGGAAATAATCAAAGTTTACAACACTTGCAGAAGTCTCAATGGACTCTAGGACGCTGATTTTTAACCAAGAAGTATTATTTTCTGACATCCAGTAAAACAGAGTAAATAACTAATGTGTTAGAAAGCAGATCCTGGTGTTAACACTCACCCTGTTGTTCTCCTCCTGCTCCGAGCTGTAAAATGGCGTCTGACAGTCTGACAAGTATGACTTCATACTTCCTACTTCCTTTTCAACGTCCCTTTCTCTCTGCAGCTCCTCCTCTGTTTCATATCCAGCCTCCTCAGCTGAAGCAGTTCACACACAGGGACTTTGTTCAGTGAGATCAAAGAAAAGACATGCAGCTAAAAACAAGCTCAACAAAGTTATCAAAAGACGACACAACATCCACACATCAACGACCATAGGGTATCATTAAATCTGCTTTATATAAAAAACTATGAACAGCGACTTAAATAAAAACACAAAGCTACATTTAACTAATTTACAAGATGTGCCAAAATCAGGGCTGAAATAGAGGGCTATGAGGCATGTTGGTATTTTGCAGAGGTGGGACCAAGTCATTGTTTTGCAAGTCACAAGTAAGTCTCAAGTCTAGGGAGAGAGAGAGAGAGAGAGAGAGAGAGAGAGAGAGAGAGAGAGAGAGAGAGAGAGAGAGAGAGAGAGAGAGAGAGAGAGAGAGGAGAGAGAGAGAGAGAGAGAGAGAGAGAGAGAGAGAGAGAGAGAGAGAGAGAGAGGGAGAGAGAGAGAGAGAGAGAGAGGGAGAGGGGGGGGGGGTTCCCCTGGTATGCTCTCTCCCTGAGAGCTGGGTTTTATCTCTCGGTAAGGTTCTCTCAAACTTGGTAAATATCTCTCGAATTTCTTTGTGAATGCTGAGTGAATTTCTGGGTTGAATGAGTGGAATGATTTGATGTGTTTGTGAAGGTTAGGCCCGCCATCTGTGAGGAAAGGTCCTCCGAATTCATGCGGGACTAGTTGAAGTATACGAATGTGGAAATGAGCAAATTAACTGATTTGTTGGATGAAAGTTTGAATGTGCTTTTTATTATCACCGGTCATTTATGAGGAGATGCCTCTAAATTCTGTTGGACGATTTTAAATGTCACAACTGAATTGGGCAGTTGAAGTTACAATTTAGGGTAATAAATGTAAAACAGTGAATTAAAGTTTCATATTAGAACATGACCACAGCATGATTAGGTTTTGTAGAATTGTCATGTTGTAAAGAGAGAAGGTAGAAACCCAGTATAAGTGTGGACCAATTTTTCTACAAATAAACTGATCCCACCTTTTGGATTGGGACAACTTAAAAGACATCTGCGCTCTCCTCTCCTGCTTCAAAGGTAAGATTGCACAACTGCCACACTCACACTTAGGTAGGGCCACACCTCATTTACTGATACCAAAATCCTTCGGGATCGCTTAAACAGATTTAGAGGGTCGTCTGAATTGAAACAGCAGTTAATTGAACCTGGTTCTTCAGGAGTTAATAGAGGTGAGATCAGGCTGACCCAGGTGGATCTGAGCCGAGCAGTAAACTCCAGTGACGTGCGGTGAGGTTCATGGCTGGTGAGGCACTGACTCTTTCAGAGTCAGATTTACAAATATTATAGCCTATTTTGACCTTAATCGAAATATTCTGTTATTTTCAAAAGCTTTTTTAGTCTGATGCTATGATTAATTTTAAACAGACCGATCAACAAAAGGATACCCAAAATCTAAATATTGGATTGTTCTTTCTAAGTAAGATCCCATTTTCATTACAGTTGTGGTCTTACCTTGACTTGAAGATGAATATAAGTCCATGCTATCCTTCTGGACAACAATCTCTATTACTGTTTTGTAAAAGTCCTCCTTATCTTCCTGTAGTTTCAAAAGTCTAGTTTGTTGTTTGCGATAGAATAACAGTAGCAACAAGAACCTGTGGGCTCACGTGCGCCCCCTTCAGTGCGGCAGAGGTTATGGCTGCCTCCCCTGGAGCTTTTTTCATTGCCGTTGTACGATGAGACCAACGAGCCTAAATATCATATATACGTGAAATAAGTTATTTAGAGACTATGGATGGCGAGGATAAATGTAATAAAGGGATCAACAAACATTACATTGGTGACCTACAGTGAGATGGGAACAGGCATGCGCTTAGGGTTCGCTTTCCAGCCAGTTTCTGTGGGGTGACGCATTCTGAATTGAGGCAGAGCTCATCTGTGCCTCACCTCACCTCACAGTAAATGGCTTGAGCGCGCTCACAAAATAAGTGGCCGCCCCGCGCTCCAGCAAGTTACTGTGGGCTTACGTGAGGCAGTGCTCGTGCCTGCCTCACTTCTCATTGCTCCCATAGCGGAGCTCGGCAAATTTGCTGATTTTGACTATAATATGCGATTGGAATCATACAGAAATCACATTTACACAAGATCAGTGGAGACATTTTATTATTATTATTATTTAGTTTTTCTTTAATTGTTTTTCCGTTACATTGGAGTATGACAGGTGAGGCTCTGCCTCCCCTGCCTCCACTGACTGCACGTTGCTGGTAAACTCAGACTCAATAACTTCTGTTAGGTCAATTAGTAAGTCTGAGTAATTTGCCGGAATAAATTATCAGCCCTCCAGACTCCAACAAGTCCAAGTCCTAAACTTTGAAAAACGAGTCTTAAACAAGTCATTATGAGCTTTTCACCAAATGTAATGACATCCATCAACAGAATAATACTTCATAATCAAAGTGCTCTTTATTAGTCACATTAATAATGTAATAATCCATCTTCTCTCTGCTGGTAAAGTAACGTGTGTTTTTCTATTTTAAGAGGGATCAGTAAGGTAAGGCTACCGTGACGGTTTATTGGATGAGTTGGATGTAGAAAAGTCAGAATCAAAATAGATGTTTTTATTTAAATTTCAAGCATTTTCAAGGATTTCCAGCACCCGTACGAACCCTGCTGTCTATAGGAGTGTCTGGCAATAGAGAGGTGCAAGAATGAGTCCTAAAACCCCGGAAAAGACTTAGCATTCCACCACTTCCTGTCTGGAAGTCAATGGTGTTCTGAATGTGTTTTGGTTGTAAGCCTCATATGGTTCTATGGTTAACACAAGCTGAACAGATTTTAATTCTACGTCTGTAAATACCCCACAAAGGGAAATAACAGTCAAATCCGGCACATATTTATTCTCTCTTTGAGGTAAATGTATTCTATGCATGGTCCTTGTTGGATAAAAACTAATATCTTTCAACATTTCGTCCCACCAGCTCAGCCCTATTTGTTTTTCTTTCCTCTTCTGCCTCACTGCTTATGAATTCTGAAGAAACCCTCGTGGTTGAATTCTCCTTCGTGAGAGAAACAAAGGTCGCTTTAAGTACAAGAGGAATTCCTCCCTGACGTCCCGGAGGCTAGTGAGCGATGCAGACATTTGTCAAACAATTCATTGAATGTATTTCACACACACTGTTCTGTACACATTAAAACAGAGATGATAAATATCACTTCTTATTTCAAGACATCTCACCAACGTGTGCGTTGTGTGTGTGTGTGTGTGTGTGTGTGTGTGTGTGTGTGTGTGTGTGTGTGTGTGTGTGTGTGTGTGTGTGTGTGTGTGTGTGTGTGTGTCATTAACGCTGTGTCTCAATCCCACTCCACTGAGAGGCATCATTTCATTTCACAGCAATCAATAAACACAAGGACCTTAAAAACAGAGAAGCTACAAGAGCTGGGGAGGTTCCAATTAAATGACTTTCGAAGGGGCGAGAGAGCGAGGGAACAAGGAGAAGATCACATCTGTATCGCCCTCTGTTGGCAGCGGCAGTGGGAGGAAAGTAGAAAGTGTTTAAAGCAGAATGTGTCCTGTTTTTATTACAGAGCAAGGATGCACATGGAGGCACTGACAGACTCATTATCAGGTTGAGGGACCCTCTTTCCCAACTTCAGCAAGGAACACCCCCATGACTATTGTTGGAGTCGGGAGGCCTGTTCATTTATTCCGGCAATAACTCAGACCTACTAATTGACCTACCAGAAGCTATTGATTCTAAGTTTACTGCTCGGCTCAGATCCATCGAGGTCAGCAAGGTCTCACCTATTAACTCCTGAAGAACCAGGTTCAATGAACTGCTGTTTCAATTCAGACGACACGCTAAATCTGTTTAGGCGATCCCGAAGGATTTTGGTATCAGTAATAATGAGGTGTGGCCTTACCTAAGTGTGAGTGTGGCAGTGGTGCAATCTTACCTTTAAGCAGGAGAGGAGAGCGCAGATTTATTTTAAGTTCTCCCAATCCAAAAAGGTGGGATGATTTTATTTGAAGAAAATGGTCCACACTTAAACAGGTTTTTACCTTCTCTCGTTACAATATGACAATCATACAAAACATATCATGCTGTGGTACTTTTCTAATACAAAAGCTCAATTCAGTTTTACATTTCTTACACTAAATTCTAACTTCAACTGCCCTCTTCAGTTGAAACATTAAAAGTCTAACCCGACAGAATCCAGAGGAATCTCCTCATAAATGGTCAGTGGTATCTAACACATTCAAACTTTCATTCAACAATTCACCAAATCAATCTGAGAGATCTTACCAAGTTGAGAGAACCTACCAAGGAGAGACCCCGCTCTGGAGCGTTCTCCCTCTCAGCCAGTGCTTTTATGCTGCACATAGGAACACAAAGAAAACCCAAAGACACCTCCTTTATACCCTGTAGGGAAAGGTCATGACCTCTGGTGTGCAGGACTGGACATCCAGACATATTCTCCTATGGTATGGCCTGAACACATTTTGGGGCTCCAGTACTTTTCCATTGAGTCAGGGTCGATGGGGTCTCTTCTTTGGTGCCGGGATGGGTGGGAGGTGGTGGTAGGTAGCAGTAGGTGTATGTGCAACACATCTTTAAGAAAAGCTTTAAGTACAATGGATTGTTTTTGTTCATTTCATATTGAGGAGAGCTAACAGGAAGTCTCTCATCAGCTGCAGTCTTCTTCTGTATTTTCCAAAATGCCTCCACGCTCCTCTGGACGTCTCAAACTCGCCCCGTGATGAATAAACTGAGAACAAATAAAACCTGAGTTTGCAGATTTGTCTGGAACACCAGAAACACACTGAGCAATAACTACATTTTAACTAAGTGTTGAAACCTCAATAAATAAAGTTCACTTGGTACGACCTCTCACCTTTCTGTGTGTCTTCACTTCCTGTCACCTGAGAGGAGAAGGAGAGAGAGAGAGAATGATGATGATGATAAAACACAGAGAAACAGACAGAATGATGAAGAGAGAAAGAAGAGTGTTGTTTTCCTCTGAGGTCATGCTCCATTCAAGAGTTTAGTATCTTGATGAATGGAGGATATGGTTTCAGTACTCACAGGTCTTCTGGATCGTGGCTCTGATCGGCTTATCACCCCATCCTCCGATCCTGTAGAGATGAACACAATCCAACAGCTTTAGATCCAGTTTAAAATAAGTGTTAGTTCTTTGAGTCAGCTTCAGAGTCCTGATCTCATGCTTTACATCCCATCAGATCTTCTCTGCAAACACTACGACTGCCTGCCACAGCTCTCAGCTGCATGACAGGAAGTAACCAGTCATTGGTCTAGAACAGGGGGGTCCAAACTCTTTTCCCCGAGGGCCACATACAGAAAGATATATAAAGGTCTGGGCCGCTCTCTAGAGGTATGTTGCCTCATGAGTTCAGTTATAAGTCAGAAACCTCAGATGAAGGTAAAGGATGCTTGTTACTTGAAGATGCTTTCAGAAACAACAGCTCCCAGCTCTCCAGAGGGTTCACTTTATTCTGTCAGCAGCTCATTCCTTAAAGCAGGATCTTCAGATTGATTATAATCACAGGAAATATGAAGGGTCTATTTCACGCTTGTTATAAAAATAAGTTATTGGGCTTTTTTCTTATCAAGTTAGATTTGTTAGAACATGTTTTCAGCTTTAATGACTGAATTTATTGTAAAAGTGGGATTATGAATACATGAATACTACTGAGTAATATATGTGTACATATATATTTAAGAAGTACAATATAAGACAAGCACAAGTTTCATTAGTGGGTCATATTTCATTAGACTTTCAGAATTTGCTGAGGGCGGATTCAGAGGGCCGCATTTGGCCCCCGGGCCGCAGTTTGGACACCCCTGGTCTAGAAATTAAAAACATCCCATAAGAACAGACCACCTTTCCCACTCTTCTGTAAAACCCCGTCTGTTAGAGAGTGGATTACTAAAGTGTGGCTTTGCATGTTCAGCTGGCCTTCTATAGTTGATGGAAGAATGAGAGAGCCTGCAGTCAGTGGGTAACATCACTGATCTGTTTCCCCAGAGAGAGAAACACCTCCCTGTGGTTCATACAATACTGCTGAACCAGCAGAGACCCCTTACTGACCAGAGGGTCTCCAGTCTGCAGTCTGGACTCTCCAGAAGATCTCTCAGCAGCTTCTCTGAATCCTTCAGATCGTTCCATCTCAGGTTCAGATCTCTCAGATGGATGTTGGACTTCAGAGCTGAGGCCAGAGCAGAACAGCTGATCTCTGACAAACTGCAGCTCCTCAGACTGAATAAAGAAAACATGATGTAAGTTTAGAAAACAAAGTTCCTGTTTGAAATAACTCCAGGTTTAATAATCTGTTCAGAGTTAAACAGGGTTTCAAAGGTCTCCTATCTGCTATCTTTAGGCATATATTCTGGGTCTCAGATATATAACAATATATAAAAACATGTCTATGATGTGTTTTGCTCCAAATACCAAACAGATCCTGCATTTTAGAAATCCCTCATATCCCTCTGTTCCAGCTGTTAGAGAAGAGCAGGTTCGGGTCCTTAGCTTAAAAGAAGAGGAGGGGGAGCTAATGCCTGATCAGAATTACCCGGCAGATTCAGCTAAACCAGGGGTAGCCAACACATTGCCCCTGCGGGCAGGGGCAACGTGAGTCGCCCGCGGGGCATGTTCTAAAAATAGCTCGCCAAGCAAATCCAAAATGTATAAAATACACAAAACAAAAAAGGAAATGTAATTAAAAGAATCTATCCTATGCATAAACGAAACCTAAATCATAGCGAACTCTATCTACTTACTACAACTCTATGGTTGCATTCGAATAGTCCATTTAGCTTAGGAACCTTCCTAACGGAGTGAAATGACCCGGAAGTCCCTCAGTGGCAGCCATGATAAGTGCCGTTCGAATTCTCTAAATTAAAAGGAAAGGAGGTTTCAAACTTCCTTTATAACCTCCTTTAGCTTAGGAACCACTGGACCTCCCTAACCGAAAGGAGAGGAGAAAATGCTGCCCCACAATGCCTTGCGGCCGCGGCATTTGCCGTCACACAACAGTCGGCCGTTCACGGAAACAATCGATTATGAACGAGAAATGATATCATGAAAGTTACGGTGCTTATTAAGCATTTTAAAACGTATGTGGTAAGTTGCCAAAGTGCTTTGTTTTGAACGTTCATCAGTATTATAATCAAAAAGAGAAATATGAACGTTAGTTTTTACTGAAATGATCAAATAAAGTCAACATTTCACAGTCTTTACTGAGCTGTGTGGGGTTTGTTCAACTTTTAAAAGATGTTTGAATGGTGATATACACAGTGATAGATGTTAAGGACTAACGTTTATAATAAATACATTTGTATTGATTTTAAGATCTTTTCATACAATCATACGTATTGGGATCATTTGTATTAATGAGGACCGGAGGGAGAGGGTGACGAGCATAAGTTTCACTTTCCTTTTTTATTTCAATTCCAACTTTGGTCATGAAGAATATGTTTCTCTGTTGTCCCCGTTCATAAAGCATAAAGCAACAGCATCAGAGCACGGTGCAGAGTCTCTAGATGAGTTTACAGTAGTCCCTCGTTCTTATTAAACATCCATGTTGTAGTCCGCTGTATAGAAAACTGTAGTTTCCATAGTTTCCCCACAGCAGCAGACGCACATTCATGACGTCCGCTGGCGCATCATAAACACGTCGGATAGTGAAAGTGCAGTCGATTCTCTAAAGTACCGCAGTCTCTTCTCCTAAATCCTTTTGAATTCTCCTATCCACTATCCCTTAACCCTGTGACCTTTCACTCAGAGGTCAAGGAATAGACGATAGGGTTAGAACTTAGGAGCTGTTCTTTTGGAGTATTCGACCGCAACCCAGTTCTTATTATACATCCATGGACTTGACCCGGAAATCGATCAAGACACGCCATTTTGAAGGACGTCCCAATAGCTGAAATGCACACGGAGGAGTCGAGGAGGGGTGAGGGAGGAGGGGTGCGGGAGGAGACGAAAGGGAGGATACACGAGAGCAGACTACGCGGAAGTGTTTTCACTACTCGCGTATAAAAGCCCCGCCCCCACCTTCACAGCTGGCCCCGCCCCCACCTTCACAGCTGGCCCCGCCCCCACCTTCACAGCTGGCCCCGCCCCCACCTTCACAGCTGGCCCCCCCCCCCACCTTCACAGCTGGTCGATTTCAAGAGAGGAAAACGGAGAACTGGAAGAATGAGTGGGAAAGCGAATTATTATGTGCAATTCATTTCTTAAGGTTATACTAACAATTTAAGTCATGTTTAATGATCTTGAACGTCACTAAAACATAGCTATTAAGAAAGCTATTTCATAAATGGCTAGATCTTGATAAATACAAATTATTTGTTTTGTTTTGTGTTAAGATATTCAGGAGTTAAATTATTTAAAATGCACAGTCCTGAATGTGTGTTTGTGGTGAATGTGGGGATCTACAGGACACACATGTTCAGAGTAAAGGCTTTCACATTATTATAATTATAATTTTATTGAAATGTACATTTTACACCAAAACGGAACACAAAAGCAGGACCAACCATCATACATTGAATTCCTTGACTAACAAGAGAAAGATTCATTCATTTAAATAAATATTTAACAACAAATGGGCCGGTTCTAAAGGTTCTAAAGGTTCTAAAGGTTATTCAGTTAAACCCAATGAGAGGGGATACAGCTGTGCACATGTCATCATTAACAGACGTCGTTTAAGAGTGACGTTTGAGTGAACGAGGACATCCCAATTAATACCTGAGGACTCCTCTGTCCTCGCGTCACCTCCTCGTGTCTCTCGCTCGCATCTTACGGAGGCGGAGCTAAGACGCAAGGAAGGGACGCGAGTGAGGGGAAGGAGGAGTCGAGGAGGGGTATTGAGACGAGGCTGGGAAGAAAAGGCACCTCCCCGCTGATGTTCCTTCTGGCAGAATCTACACAACACATCAGCCCCATTGAGCAGCCTATCATGCAGCCTATACAGCACATGAGGGGCAGAGCTTTACTCTGTGTGCTGCAACTTGCATATTTATTTATTGCACTTGACGCACACACACGCAACTAACCCGCTCTTTTCGAAATCCCGTTTGTGTCCCCCCACTTTACAAATATGTTTATTATTATTTTTTAACGCAAGCCGTCATCGCCACGGAGGAGGGAGGGAGAGAGAGCGAGAGAGCTAGGGAGGGAGGGAGGGGGGGAGAGAGAGAGAGCACACCTTTATCTATTTAATAGATAAATCAGAAATCATTCCAATGTGTAGAGGACAGTAAAAAAAAACAAGAAACAGTTGAAAGAGTGATTAGTAAAATAAGCATGAATAGAAAGAAAGAATGCTAACTAGGAAACATCAGATCAGAATAAACCAGTTTAAATGATTTGTTATTGGTTGTGATCATATTCTAAAGAGGTTTGGATTATTGAAAAGTATACAGCTCCCTTTCATCTGAGTGTTGAGAGCTGTTTCCATCAATTCATCTGGGGCTCAGAGTGCTCCAGATTGATGCTTTTCACTTCAACATTTAAAAAAAATCTTCCCGGGGGTGCATGCCCCCCGACCCCCCTAGAGGATGTGAGGACCCCCCCCTAGAGGAGGTGAGGACCCCCCTAGAGGAGGTGAGGACCCCCCTAGAGGAGGTGAGGACCCCCCTAGAGGAGGTGAGGCCCGTCCACCCCCAAATAAAGCAGGTTAAAATAATTAGATTGAATACATGTTCTTTTAGTAAACACTGGAAGGGGTCCCACAGACCCAAACAGCACACAGAGGTTAAAGGTCAGCATGTCATGATGTTAAAATGTGCTAATTATATACACTGCAAAAAACAAAAAAAAGAGGAGTAAAAGTAGCTCACGACTTGTTTTATTTTTTGAAAGTAGCCCTCACCCTAAAAAGGTTGGTGACCCCTGAGCTAAACGCTGCCGTGATTAAACGCCATCATGTTCCAAACCACATCAAGGATTCTCTCTGAAACAGTATGGAGCTCAAACTCTTTCTCTCTCTCAGGTTTACCACAAGGTGAGTTCCTTTTGATTTCCTGCTTCTTCACACATGCTCTCTCCAGTACAGGTTAGCTCTGAGTGTTAGCATGCTAATGTAAACACAGACCATATTACTTCCAGAACACGTCTCATTGTTTCTGACAGCAACGTTTCTGATTGGCCCGTGGGTGTAAAGCCCGCCCACATTTTAGTAATGTCGTCATGACGCAGCAAATCTGGATCAGCTCCGTTGTTCCCCCATTTTTAGAGATGTGGGTACGGAGGAAAAGAGAGAGGGGTTTATTTCCTGACACTTTGTGAGTCTCCTGACACACCGGGGACACACCGGGGACACACCGGGGACACACCGGGGACACACCGGGGACACACCAGGGACACACCGAGGACACACCGGGGACACACCGGGGACACACCGGGGACACACCGGGGACACACCGGGGACACACGGGGACACATGGTGATGTAGAGAAGACATCACTTAGTGAGTCTCCTGACACACCGGGGACACACCGGGGACACA